CTTCAACTTTCAAATCTCCTGTCAAACTTTAGAATCATTGAGTTTGCACTTTTCATTTGTCTAATTGTACTCATTTTTTGTGCTTTGACATCCAGAAAATCCTTGTACCTTTTAGTAAGAGATCTCTTTTCTCGACTCTTCTAATTGGGAAGTTTACAGTGACAGTATAAGTACTCAACAGTCAAATAACTGCATCTTCTTTCTACTCTGCAAAACTTCTTTACGTGTTAAAAAGTTTACAAGTTCTTCATGCTCTATCTAGGTATTTAGAGTCAAAGTTTTCGAGGTGAAGAAAAAAGGAAATAGAAATTTACAACCAACGTTTTTCTTCATAAACCTACATCCACAAAAAAAACTGACATAAGTAATACTCATTAAAATTTAAAATTGATGTAGACAACAGTTTACTTGTGATCACAGTCAGTAAAATTCAGAGAGAAAGTAGAAAAGGTAGAAAATCTTTTTTAGCAATCGACAGCGCTTGAATTTATTTAAATGAATAAATATCATTACAATGCGCTGCAGCAGTGACGATAGAGCTTCAACTAGATAAAAAAATGTTTGCGCGCTTGAACTCAAATATAACCTAAAAATGTTCTTTTAAAACAAGAGCTGCTCACTGGAGAGGCTGCTCAGCAATAAGTCACGTTATAGTTAGCTTTAGAAAATCTATAATTTTGCCATCTTAGTGAAATAAAGAAAGATTACTGGTGAGATAGGTGCAATTTTGTAAAAGACAATTCCCTAACTTCAACCTGTGATTTTTATCAGTTGCTTCACTCGTTGCTCTGTTTCTCATTCGTGAGTGAGCATCAAAATGTTTGCAACTTTTTACGTGAACTTATATACAACATCTGACTGATATGAAGACAGACAAAAAAATTTATTTTTTTTCAACGCGTAACTATTAGGACGTGTTCTTCACAAAAATGGCAAAATATCGACTATGTTTAATGTTTTTCTAACAGGAAATCACGAATGTTCTAAATTGGAAATGAACAATGCGAACCGTCTTTGGCGGTGGACCACCGCTACTACGTTTTAAAACGGCTAGCTTTCGGAGTACGTCGGCAGACGAGAATATCGCATCTTAAAAGGACATTGACAAAGTACTTCAGTAAAATAAAGAACTCAGAGCAGCTCTCAGTGACCATTACACAGAGATACAGCCGAACTATCGACCAGAAGTAATTCTAACGTTTATTCGTGAAATTTAATGCCCTCTAATCCAATATTCTTGTTTAGAACAGTAGAAGCTAAAAAAATTCTTTACTAGATACCTAAATATACAATTAACTAAGAATCACAGTGAAACTGTTCACGTAAAGCGACAACAGATAAAATAATCATATAAGAGATTCTTAATGTCAGATTAAGGAAAAATAGGAGCTTCAATCTATGAAAATAAAAGCCCTCGTTCTCCTCGCCATTGTTCCTTGAAACTCAAAATAAATGGTACTTCACCTAACTTCCTCCACTTTTTTCTTGCAAGCAAAAAGAACCACTGACAATCAAAAGTTAAACAGCGAACAAAATATTTGTATGAGCTAAATTAAAAAATCCCTTTCCGTACATAAAATGAATTTTGCATGTGTTTATGAGAGCTCTTTAGAAAACACGAAAAAAAATCTGCTACGTTGGACAACCCTCAACGACGTATTCAAAAACGTAAATTTTGCAGAACAGTCTAGTAACAGATGGCTTACCAATCATTCTTTAAATTTACTGCTACCAAACTCGTTTGGTAAAAGCCATCAATAACTAGAGCTTCAAGTAATTAGTACACCACTGTGTTCTTGAAACTACTGAAAGGTTGCCCTATGTTCATAAAAGTAACTCACCCTGAACTGCCGACTGTGTTTTCTTCAACCGAACTTATTCATTACGTCTGAGTAATTAATGAAAAAAGATAAGATTGTACCAAAAAAATGAGGTATTTTTACTTCACTGCTTTAGGTAAAACGATCTTGCAAACAAAAACTTCCAAAGAGTGGTTTTTAGTTATAGTTAAAATTGGTGAGGACATACAATCTACAGTAAAGCAATTTTCCGCCCTAAAATGACTGGTAAGAAAAAATTCTGTATTCAATTGCAAAATTTTCCAAAAAAAGCTATTCTATAAGCATTCTTTTATAAAATCTTCTTCATTACTCTGAATCAAATCCAAGTAACCTCATTATGCACAAACAAAACCTAACGGCCATCAGTAGCATTTACAAAGCCAAACAATTCGGTTATTATACGCACATAAATAGTTTCGTTGTTAGCTATCATGAACAGACATGCTTCAAAAAACTTCTTCTACCTCCAAAAACAGCCTAGAACAAAAATCTCTTCTTCTCAACTGTTTGATGAATTAATAAATTAAAGCCGTAATAAGACTGAAGTACTGAATGAACAGATCGAAAGTTCACTGTCACTGAGTTATCAACAAACAGCAAGGCAAAAACATTATTGCGTAAAAGTAAACATGCTCTGAGGATTTCTCCTTTTAGATTTCAAAAGTACTCATGTTTTTCTCCACTTTATTGCCGTTCGGTAAAAATCACCAAAAAACAACATCAATATTTTTAACACAAAATTGTGAAAAGTTAAAATGTAACTACTTCAAAAAGTTTTCTTTCAACCTTTTTATCCTCAAAATTCATAAAAAAAAAACAAACTCTCCACCCCCCCTCCCCCCTTCCCAACCTTATTCGTTTGTAAGTACTCTCAGTCTTTGAAAAAGACATTATAATTATAACACTTAATCCTAAAGCTTCTGAGTCTATTTCTAATAACGCTGCTTAATAGGACAAAGAATCGTTTAGAATCTGATACGACTTCCCCAGCACAACTTTTGTGCTAAGAGACTGTTGTGCAGCCACAGAAATGAATAATCTTGAAACTGCAGCTCTGAAGTCTTCAATCAAAGCCCCTCAATTTTTTTGGAACTGAGTAACAGAGATAGGATATTTTTCCAGAAAAGGTTATTCTTACCTCAGTTTTACCTTTCATCAAACATTCTTCGACATCCTTCTTCTCCGATGGCCACTTTATTGATTGCACTTCTTGGAAACTATCAATGCTTATGTTATAAACAACATCTCTGAAAATATAGTTGCAAAATGATTTTCGAATATCAGTTTTCTGGAAAAAAAATCAGATTTTCCTGAAAACTCCAAAAAATGTTGATTATCATTGATTATACCTCTGAATTACCACAGTTCTTGTACTTTGTGATAAACTGTGTGGAACGATTTTTACAACATGTAACTTTTGAAAGTTCAAAGATTTCATCATTTTTCGCTTTGCAAATGTTAAGGAGGCGAGATGAAAACGATATATATGTCAAAATATTTATCCTTCTGCGCAAAAAAACACCGCCTATCCCCTTATCCACCAATGCGTTCCCCAAAAACTGTTTTTGCAAACATCGGGTCAAAAAGTAATTTTTTGTTTTAAACAATGTCGGAGAATATATATTTGTTTTTAGAAGCATTTGTTTGTTTGCAAACAACAAAAATTATGTGTCAAAATAACCTTGCTCCAATGAGCAGATGATTATTATCAAGATCAAGCAAGCGATAGTAATCTTTCGTCGAACTTTCACCGAACCTTAGTATTGTCGGATCTGTAAAGTGAAAAAAAAATTGAAAAAAAAAAAAGAAAAAACATGAATTAAAAAACAGAAACAAGAAACATTAAAGTCTTTTAACGCTACTCGAAAAATGTCGACTAATTTTTACATTGAAATGCAGAAGAAAAGAAAATTTGCAAGTTTCACGAGACTTCGGTTGTATCATAAATGTCTGTTCTACTATAAAACAATTCCCCTAAGAATATGTAGTAAAAAACTCTTATTCTCGACTACCTAGCTTATTAGTAAACAGCGACCTAGTTTAACCTAAATTTTAGTTTTAAATTACTTTACATCAGTAAAGTAAAAAGTAAAAAAAAAAAATAACAGCAACAAAAAAATTTTGCAATTTCGCTATTCTTTTAGCCTAAAAGAATTAGATAAAGTATTTAACATATAAACGAAAGCTGATGAGACTAAAATATAACGATTGGTGAGCAGATAGAAAAATTTATTCAAAGATCTGAAAGCCTGTATATCGTTTACCTCTTCCCCCCCCTCCCCCCCACAAAAAAAAAAAAGATTTATCATAATTAGCAATTTTCTATATAGTAAAAACTTTTATGAGCCTTACAAAGAACTCCAATAAGTCGTCTCCAAATAGTCGACAACAATTTTTATGGTAAACTGTTACTGTAATTTTTAATTTAAATCTTAAAAAAAGAAAAAAAAAACACTAACTTTACCAACTATCTGTAGAACAACAAATTGAACGTTAACTGTTTCATTGGTCTAATGCTTATTTCAATTGTCTATTTTCCTTTTTATTCGTATTATAATGCCAGAAAAAAAAAAAAAAAAGTAAAATTATAAAATAAAATAAAAATTAAAAATTAGAGGAGAAAAGAAGGTAACCTTGACTGCAATGATTTGCTGCTAATAGTCGAAACCCTCAAAATGGGCAAACAAAACAAACAAACAACAATGGATTAAGGTTACACGCTTTTTTGACAAAAAAACATGATGAATTCCATGAACGATAATTAGTTGCATTGAGCAGCAAAAAAAAAGGAAAATTAATAATAGTAATAATAATAAATAAGATAAAAGAAAGGAATCATCCAACAAAGTTCTAATGTACTGTAAACTTTTCAGTTAATTGTAAATCTTTTATAACTGCCCCAACCACTGTTATCCTTAAAAAAAAAAAAATGCACTGCCTTAAAATTCTTCTTTCATTTTACAGCTCTAAAAAAAAAAAAGGTACAGAACAAATCAAAACTTAAGCAGTTCATAGTTAAGAAACTTTAAATGGCATATTTCTTCTTTGATTATTCAAAATATATTTGGGTGTATTTGTTGTTGTTGTAATGTCAATATGGCTTTCTAGTGTCATTTAAAATTTTGAAAAAAAAAAAAAAAAAGTACACTCCACTGCTCCGTATTTATTGTGCAATTTTTTTTTTTTTCATAAATAACTGTTTATCAGTGTTATCACTAAAATTACCACTGCTTTTCCATTGTGTGTAATTTTTTTCTCTTCAAATTCTAATGCCAACGTTGTTTAATTTATTTGAACGTTTTACAAACAAAAAATAAGATGCTTTTCTATTTTCTCATCCAATCCAATTGCGCATTAACGTTACATTTTTTATTACAGTATTGTACAATGTTTAGCAAAGAAAAAAAAACCTTAAAAATTCAGAAAAAAAAAAACACCAAATGCTATACTGATCCGTACAGAATGTTACTGAAACTTTTCCTGTAACGGATG